GCAGGAGCTTATGCTTTTGATTTACATTTAGAGGGTGTTAAGTACAGGCAGGAGTCCAAATACATTCAGAGGGAAGACTGTGGCTCTGTGGTATCTTAAAGGACTGTAGCATGTCAGATATCTGATAGCAAAAACTGGGGAGTATAACTCTCGTGCCCACAAGGGATGTGCTTAGGGGCCAAGCAGCCCAGAGCCCACAAAGGGCTAGAGTTAGAGCTCAAGAATCTAGGTCTTGGTGTGGTGGACCCTGGGCAATGGGACCCAGCCAGATTAAACATGAGCTAAGGTTGGGAAGAATCTGGTTTTAGACAAGGACCTACCCCAAAACCCACATCCACCTCCAGCCTCCCTTCAAAACTATAACATCAAACCATGGCAGGTGAGATGGAGGGGGCAGGACCCAGAGTCTGGAAACAAAGGGTGAGGAGGTCAGAGCCCAGCAGCAAGCCAGGCTGGGAGCCTTGTCATGCCAGCACCAAACATTGCTGTTAGTCTTTTACCAGCTCAAATTGTTTGAAGTGTGTTGTGGATATTTTCCTGCACACAATGAGCAGCATCACAAAAATGATGATAAAAAATGACTGTCTCAGAAATAAAATAAAGGAATTTTTCACCTCTCCTTTACTGTGATGGCCATTTTCTTTCTGTGGGCTGAACTGGTGGGTTTCATTTATTTTTCTTTTATTCGTAATTTCTAGATAAACAACTTTGCATTTGGATATATTAAATTGCATGTTGCTTACATTAGCTTGGCTTTCCAAACTGTGTTGCTTAGTCTCTATAACTGAAGTGCTGCCACCTCTTACCAATTACTTAATCAATTATTTCCCACCTACAAATTAAATCAGCAATGATTTTAAATTTTCTTCCAGATAACTGATAAAGCTGTTGAATAGTACAGAAATGGGAAAATATCCCTGGAATTCCAACTGAAACATCCCATTAGATGAATATTGTCCATTTCCAATGACTTTTCAAGATCTTTCAGTTAACAGCTTTTAATCCATTTGATGTGGACTGTACTGATTACATATGGTGTTAATTTTATTATAGTGGGTGTATCTAGACAAGAAATGAATGTGAAGCAGTTTATACAGGAGTAAACTGCTCAGTTGTGGTGTCTACACATGGGCCTGGGACAGCAGCAATGAGCCAGGGCAAAGCAGGCCCCCAGCTGACTGGGCTGGCCAGGCACAATTTATGCCTGTGGTCAGTGTCCACATGTGTGTTTTAGCACAGTAAATTATCCTGCCATAAGAGAGTATTGTCAGGTACAATAGTCTCTTATGGCAGACTTAATTAGTTTACTGTGCCCTAATACCAGCACACATGCAGACTGTACCATTTCACTGTGGAGCTGATTAGTCTACTCCGCAGCAAGGAGCATGTGTAGATGCACCTGGTGTCATTCAAGATTAAGAAGCCTAAGTCAAATACCTCACAAACTTCTCCTGTATCCTAAGATTTGTCATCAAACAACAGTACTGATATGGATAGTTCAATTATTTAATGCTTCTAGATTCAAATGTTCAATTATAACAGAAAGCAACCTCTGACTTTCACTTTTAATCGATGATTCCCCTACTCCCACCATTTCAGAAGATTTTAACTTTCTCTCTAATAATATCATTAGAGTATTTTCATGACCACCATTTACTAGTACCTTGCCATGGCAATATTCAAAACATCCTCAAGAACCCTGCAGAATCAGGGCTGCCAAATTTTTGTAATGATCTAGGTATGGACTTGCCTTATATGCATTCAAATTCTTGGTGTGGTATACATTTGTTTCTGTCTGAATATTAAAGAGGAGGCAACCAAAGAGGAAACCTGAGTTAAAATTACTTTATTGTCTCTATTTTTATTTAATCTTTTTGATGCTATTTGGGCTTGGCTAGGTGTCATGAACCTCGGTCCATATTCCAATGTATAATATCAGTTATACAAAAGCTAAAAAAGATTCCTGGTTTTGCTGGCAGCATAAACTACAGATGACTGAACTCAAACTATATTCAAAATAAACACTGTCCCTCTAAGGATTAAAAAAGTGTATGTCAAATTTACAATAATTAGAGGTTCTTGTTTAGACATTTTTAATTTGTATCTCATCATTCTACATTCTTTATGCTAGCAGGTGGCACAGCATCTTACAAGCTGGGATTTCTTTATTTGTCTAACAAAAAAATACAAACGTAAAACCCCATAAGGGAAAACAGTATGAGCATGGCTCAGAACATCAAAACCAACTGTACAGTACATGCTTCTTAAAAATAGATCTGTTGGCTCAGCGTTACTTATAATTCTCATTTACTGTACAAGACTACTGTGTCTTGTCTTGTGTCAGGCACTAGTACTAAGACTATGTATTATCATCCAGGTCCTAAAATGCTCAGTTTGAGCTGGTTTTCTTAATATCATTAGACCAGTTTCTGCTTACTTAATAATACCTGTAGAAATTATCAAACAAAATCAGTGACATCAATGCAATTACACTCACACTCTTCCTGTGTATGCAGGACTATATATTTTTCATTGTCAAATAATAGTGTGAATATGAAGTAACAACGGTATTTTATCTAAAAATGCTAGGAAAAAAATCAATAAGAGCCTTCAGCCATTGTTCTTTTGATCCTGTCATTCATCAGTAAGTCCTTAAAGATTTGTTTTGAATCAATCCACAGCATCATTTTGGCTATTGACAATTCAAGCAGAACATGAAGCCTACCATCTTTGGTTTCTTCTTTCCAATGGGGAGAAGCTGTTACATTGCAACAACATAATGTGGAAAAAATACAGTACAAATGTAACAATTTTAATGAGATTTATGCAACTTTTTGAATGTTCAAAAGCCAATAAACTCCAGTCAATTTATTTTGAGAAAACTGGTTAGTTTGTGATCAAATTATATTTCCCCCCATTCTCGTGAACTAAAGCCAAATACCAGATTCTAATCCAAGGGTGGGCAAAATACAGCATGTAGGTCAGATACAGCCTGCCAAGTGATTCCCTCTGGCCCATGGCAGTTGTGGTAAGTGTGACTGATCCTGCTGCCCCCAGATGTGGAGATGCCACATGGCATGGCCCACTGTATCCCTGCATGCAACTTTTGGGCAAGCTGGGAGCTGTAATCTGTGGGGCAGGGTGGGGTGGGGTGGCAGCTGCCTGGAAGCAAGTGTCACTAGCCCCTGGCCCCACTGCCTGAGCACCCCCAGGCCCGTCTGCCCTGCACCCACTGCTGGTCATGCCAGACAGAGCAGGCAGGTGAGGTGTCCATGGAGTCCAGGCCAGGACCCCCGCAGGCTTGGCACACTTGGCTGGGTGGATAGTGGTATCCAGGAGTGGGATGGGCAGATGGGATTATGGGGTGATGACAGTGCAGGGCTGGGGCTCAGGGCCTGGAGCACAGCTGTAATCTGCTCCTCACTCATCCCTGTGATGGGCACCAGTCTCCCGCCCTGTGGTTCCCTGCAGAACTGATGCTCAACACAGGGACATGTAGGGAGAGGACCGTGGCTCTGTCCTGGGCCCTGGCATCACGCTATCACTGCTCCCCAATCCCAGCTCTGGCCCATGCCTTGCTCAACTGTCCTGCTCCTGGACACTGCTCCTTGCCTGCCTGTGGCCCCATCCATCCATCTGAGCACACCCTGCCCACAGGGATCTTGGGGTGGGCTTCATGGAGACCCCACCTGTTTACCCACTTGCTCCATCTGACACCCCTAGCAGTGGGTGTGGAGTGCATAGGCCCAGGGCCAGATAGGAAAAACTGGCACCCCTCTGGCCCCCTCTTTGTAAACAGGCCATGTAAACAGCTGTGACAGGGCCAGGGCTGGGGCCAAGTCAGCACTCCGCCTCCCCACCTCTGCCTTCCAGATCTCAAGAGCTCACCCAAAGTCCTTCAGTGGTCCCTCCAGCCAAAATAATTGCTGATTAGAGTGCTGGGATGTAGGTTAGGGCCATGCAGTTAGAGCGAAGAGATCTGCCAATATGACAGATAGCTAAATTATCAAAAGCCCTTTAGAGGATCAAACCTTGCATGTCTACCACATATGGAGATTCCTCATAAGCTTCAATGGAAGTTACTTGTATTGAGGGCTCATAGTACTGGAATGGTTCTATCAGGGTGGCATAAAAACAATAATTCACTGAGTGGATCCAGGCTAGGATGGCTAATAGGAGGCATTCTCAGCCCCCAAATAGAGATTTGGGTCTGAGTTTTCAGCTGCTAGGTCTTTGGTTCCCTCTGCCAAAATAAAGGGGACAATTTTTTTCCCCACACATCTCTTTTCCTCCCCCTTCCCCGCACCCATTACCCAACTTCAGAGAACTTGCCTCAAACCTGCTGAGATCCTGGATGTCAGTCCCTAAGCAATGTGCTTGCCTCTTGCAAACATTAAAATAACATTTTCTGTCAGAGTTGAAATAACAAAAGGATCCTATAATAAAATACCAATTTGAATATATTTTTTAAAAGCACAGGTTAGTGTTTTACTCCCAAAAGATTCCGCTTTATATGAAAAAAACAGTGCCAGATGTGCAGGGTGAAGGGAAGAACATACAACTTAGGGTCTCAAGAGAGAGGCCAACCTATACAGTTATTTACATACATCATTACCTTGATATCACACACACACACACACACACACGCGTGCGCGCACACATATAGTGGATCTATTACAAACATATTGATTATGTAGATGACTATCTGTTTGCAACCTGGTATAAAGCTTTTTTGAAGAAAATCTCCCCTCATTTAACAAGGACCTGAGATAAATACTTTCAAGTGGCTAAGAAAGCAAAGAATAGAAATATTTGTGATTTGTGCATGTATGTTGCTAGTAACATAAACTAGTATGACATAAGGTGGTATGACAATTCTGCTAAATATTTACTGACATAATGATATTTATTTTCTTGTTTTACCCAGGACCTCTGTGGGCAGGGAATACCTAATATTTAGCACCCATGATCCAGTGCTGTAATAAAGTCAGGAAACTTACCTGATTCCTGGAGATAGCGATACACCAAGAAATTCACTTCGTCACTGGTTATGCTCATCTTAGCCCTACCTCAATATGATGAGGTTTATAAGAAGTGTGATCCACACTCTGTTCAAAGAGGGAAGAAAACAAGAGTTATGGTTCTATCATGATGATATGTAAACACTATTTAAGGGGACATAATTAAATTTTTTATGGTCTAATATGTTTATATGAATTACAGTTGTGACCCAATGTGAAGAATTATTTAAATACTGTGAATCTAGTACTCATACTGTGCTGTGCCATTTTATTATTATTTACAAACAATACTTAAGCCAGGGGTGGGCAATTATTTCAGGCGGAGGGCCGCTTACTGAGTTTTGGCAAGCCATCGAGGGCCGTATAACAGGCAGCCAGGAGCAGATAAATCTTAATTTTCTAAATTTTTTAAGGGCCCTGTGGGCTGGACAAAATGGCTTGGTGGGCTGCATTTTGCCCACCCCTGACTTAAGCAGTACTTATATAAACATTATATATTTGAAAGAGGCAGAGAAAGTATTTTAAATCATGAAAGCCCTTTACTGCTATTAACTCATTTTCTTAAAGAGCTTTACTACAGTTCTCTTGGACACCCTTCTTCATTGCATAAGCACCTTCTAATCAGTATTGCTGAAATGTATTGCCAGAGATAGTATATCATACCACACCTACTCTTTTCCAGCTCACACTTAATAATCTGGTCTTCTGCTTACTGGTTTATAATTTGGGAAACAGATTGTTCCCTTTGAAAGAAGGAACAAGGCATAAAAGCACTCTGAGAACTTTAAACAGCAGTAAAATTAATAAGCAAACCCAAAAGGAAGAACAAACAGCAAATGTTTATTAGCAAGGCATTGTAGAGAACACCTAGTACTGAGCAATAAGGTAAGCACACACCCATTTGATGTCTTTGAAGTACTTCATTGTTTATAATGTACCAGATCAAGGCTAAACAAATCACTAAGAAAACCATAACATAAAAAAGGAAGGGTTTTGCACAACCAGTTAGGATATATTCTTTGATAATGAATGAATAGCACATTGGCTTTAAATGTAGATGATAGTCCAGTTTAAAATATCTCCTTTGAATTTTGATAAAAAAATCCATTTCTTTTTTTTTTTTTTTGTTTTCTTTTTCAGCTAGTTCAATATAAACAACTTTTCATACATGAATCATACAGCTTCGATACTCACCGAAAATTGAAGAATAGTCTTGGAAAGTTTTGGACGTAAAAGTGCGCGTATACGCTGCCAGGCAATGGTGTAACAAACAGATTTGGCACCCAGGGCAAACTCTACAAGAGCAGGGGGTGCATGGTTCTGAGGCTAGGGGTGGGCTCCAGGGGAAAGACCTGGGGTGGCATATGTGGGGTCTGAGAGTGGGGTGGCAGGGAGGGGAGTGTAGCATCAAGAGTGGGAGCCCACAGGGGAAAGGGAGTGCATAATTTCAAGAGCGGAGGTGGGGCATTGGGGTAACCATCTTATCCATCCCAGGAACTCCTAAACAGTTAGTGGCTGAGCTGCTGCTGCTTCTGCCACTGTGTGCTCTGCCCACCCTGGCTGTTGCTCTTAAAGCAGCTGCAACCTGGGACTGCTCTGGACTTCCTGGCTTGGGTATACTGCTGGGGTACAAACTTTGCAGGGCTGTGGGTGTGGGAAGGGTTCTGGCATCCTTCCTAACTTTGCATATGGGGCAGGTGCCCCTCTCACCCACCCCTAGTTATGCTGTTGCTGCCACAAATTATAAATTAAACATTCATAGGAGTCTGCTGTTTGTTTTAATTTCCCGTATGTCTCCTCTTGGCAGGCAGAGTGGTCTTTGTTCACTGAAAACCTCTTCAGTAATTCCTGTTGCCTAAAGTAGCACCTGCTACGGCAGGCAGTGCTGATCAACTACAAGTTTCCCCTGCTGATGATCTAAACCAGCAGGTCACTCATGACTGAAACAGATGTTTCTGCATATTTATGTAAATGGAGTTCTTTTGAACTGTGTTATGCCTTTTATTCTCCTTCCCTGCTATATTTCATCAATGACTCAGATGCTGTTTTTCCATAACAACAGATACCTTGGTAATTTAAGGGACATTCTTCTCTAGTATTGTATTGAATAGTGCTGCAGTTTATATTTCATGCAAGAGAGAAACATGAATATGGCAAGTCTTGGGCTGCTCTCAACAGGAAAAGGCAGCCTCATCTTCACAGAAAACAATCATCATCAAGGTGGTGCTGGACTGAGACTCAAGAAATCTGGTACAATTTCTTTTTTTGACATCAATTCTATGTGCAACCCTAGGAAAACTTGTGCACCTCGGGTCTTCAGTTTTGTAAAATGAGCTATGATATTCCTAATGCCCACCATCCTTGAGGGTATACATGCATTAATGTATGCAAGTATTGCAGTTTAGTTGCTATGGTGGAGGCAAAAGTACCTTCATGAACCACAACATTTTGTTACAAAATGACAAAAGTGCACATTTTGAGATCTCACTAGTTATGAGTTCTTATAACGGGCCCCTTAAAAAAGGGACAAACTTTACATATAATTGTATTACTTTCTGCAAAACAGAACTGGTTTCAGAATAATTCACCAAATGGTTCTCAACAAAGATACTGATGATGACTGTTAAGGCCATTTGTATCTCCACCCATTTGATTACATTTAAAAATATATTTTTTTCATAGTTGTTCATTGCTACAGCCGTGGTAATGCAAGAAACTGTGACAGCTACTGTTAAAAAGGAACATGTACCATTTTTTTTCAGTACATTAAAAATAGCAGTTTCAGTTTTTTGGTAGTAGGAAAGACAGGGAAGTTGAAACCTCTTACAAAAATTCAGTTTCAGTGATGACGTCCATTGTAGTGGTGTGAACATTATTAATAAAATCACAAGAAATTACAACTGCTGCTTCTGCCTATGATGCATCTGATTAGGTTAAATTATTAGTGCTATAATCCTTCCTTGTTCTGAGGGGATTTTACTTTTTCCAGAGGACACCTTTGTTAAATAAATTAAAAACCAGAGAAAATCAGCCTGACTGAAAAATAAATAGTTTGGCAACCATGAAGAAAGCCTCCACAGCAGCTACCTTCCCCCCACTCCCCTTCTTTCGTATTAGAATTCCAAACACAGTAAGTAGCTGGATTTATAATGCATTTTCCCTGCAGTCAGTGAGCAGGAATTACTTTGACATATGTGTCAGATCATATCTTTATACACATTGTTACCATGCCATAAATAACCAGATGATCCCCGCTCATGCGTTTAAGGTCTCCCCTCCCTCAGATGCCATTGCAGCAATTAGATACACAACTATCAGGCTCTAGCCATCTGAAATGACCCAGAGATCATGTCTCTGCCCCAGAGTAATCTATTCATTAGGAATTTGGCTTAGCCATGAAAGACTTCACTCAGTTTCATTAACCCTGCTTTTTGATTACCCCCATCCCTATACGTGAAAACCCCAAACTCGATGGACGGCAGAACATAGAGTGGGGAGGAGGGGAATATAATTATCTCGGGTGTAGCTCTAAGTCTAACCCAGAAGAAATAAGCAAGAAAGCAAACAAACAAAAAGATTTCCCCACAATAAAACTGAGTTTGAAACATAACAAGCAAAAGACTCCAGTTGGTGCCACAATGTAATTATTTCTGTAAACTGATAGTCTCCTGTCATTAGTGAGGATCAATGTTGCTTAGGTGAATAATTATTTTCAAAGTGCAGTTCAGAAAAATAACTTGTGTGTTTAGGACTATTTCTCATTTAAAGTGACAGGATTTTTAGCTCCCCATAGCAATTGAAATGCACATACCCAAACCCCGAACCCCAAACCAAAACCCCCCCCGAAACACAGGAAAATGACCTAAAGACATCCAGGCATCCTTTATCTGAAACACTTCCCCCTCACCCACTGGCAGATTACAGCTTTCTATTTTCTTCAATCATATGTAAAACAAAATTGAATTGTAGTCCTCTGAACAGAATTGTGTGGTTAATGTGAAGCATGACAGCAGTGCTAATAAACTCAATGAATGTATTTGCATACTTAAATTTGAATGGGCATTCTGTTGACCCCAAGCAACAGTGTAGTTTTCCTATGTGCTACATTCATGCAGGGTTGTTTAAATAACTGGAAGCAGCCATTGAACCCACTGAAATGCCCTTCTTTAATTATACTGTGAAACTGGGGCAGGTAAATTGGATGTCAGCCTTTACATTTTATTTTTAATCCCTAATTTTTATTATACTGTATTATACTCTGATCTTCATAGCCTGCCCCATTGCTAGGCCTGGGATGAGGACACTGTAGGTGGCAGCAGAGGGTCTTTCAAGAGAGGATTCTGGATTTGTTGCTTGAAGCCGTCAGTCACATAGGAAGAGGGAGGGTGTAGTCTCAGCCATGCTTTCCTCCCCTTCAAACAGTCACAGTGCAATGCATGTTCATTGCCTCAGCCAGGAAAAGAGAGATGGGTAGGATATGGGGAAAATAAGAGTGCCCCAAACTTCCTATTTTTTAATCCCTTCTCTTCTGGGGAAGGTCATGGGGGAAGAGGTCGGGGCCTGGGCAGGCAGAGGAGAAGATGGCATAGAACTAGGTGGGTCCTTGCACTGTTTACCGGTGGAATACAGCAGCTCCAGGCTGTTTAAATTGCACGGACAAAGATATTTCAGAAAATAATGGCAATTTGGAAATAAAACTGTCCAGTGTACAATGACCATTTACTGGACCAGATAACCTCTCTAGGTAGTTGTAAATGATGGGTGCATTTGACACCGCTGCCATCAGAGTTCTCTGCTATTGCTCTCACTTTGTTGCAGACATATGGCACAGGCAGCTATTTTTGCCACTAATTTCTAAAAACACCTTCACAGAAAAGGCTTCATGTCGTCAGGATTCTTCCTTCTCATTTCATACCAAATTCTCTAATTAAGAGGGGGCGTGATATTTATGGGCATTTACACAGATGCAGGGAGCCTGCTTCAATGTGCTGGAAATCCAGCGCATTGAAGTGGAGCACATAAATTGATGCGCTCTGGCACCCTCACACATCGTGTGCATCAGTGGCACGTTTGATGTGCTTTAGTTC